GGGTAAACTCTGGCTTAAAATTGAGCATATCCTGGGTACTGTGTTGAGAGGGCTGCTCCTCTGGAGTCACTGAAGCTACTTAGAAATGAAGGATGAAGTGAAAAATTCCTGCAGAGATCTTCAGACACCTCTGTCCTGTCACCCTGTGCTCTGTGCTCCCGTTCAGTACTTGAGGCATCCTCGAAACAAGACAGAACTCTGGGGCTTCTGTCAAAACAAGGGACAAGGTGGTTTGCTAGCTTTCCCTTCCATCACTAATTCATACGCGGTGAACCCTAGGATTTTTATTCAGTATTCATTCTGTGCCATATACTGCAGTCTCCAGGGGAATTGAGAGTGTCTGCCTGGTGTAAGCACTGGGGAAAAGCAGGGCTGGGGCTCTGCCGGGTGGTTTGTGATTATTGCTGCTGCTGTTTCACCTGACAGCTCCAGCTGCGGCGGTGCCCCGGTGCCTCCAGTGCTCTGCAGGGTGGCTGGGACAGGACTCTGGTGCCCACAGGTCACTGGAGAAAGCACCCTCGGCTGAAACAAAGCAGAGCAGTGGCTTCCTGAGGATCAGGGCACAGGTCAGTGGTGGAGCCAAGGCTGGGATAGCTCTCACCTCTTTAATTTCTATTAACAAGTGTATACCTGTAAAACTACATGTTTTTTAAATTACCTTTTCTGAATAATTTTGCTACATAGTATTTCTTGTCTGTTTTTCTTCATTCATATTCATTCTACAGATGAAAAAAATCCACCTTTGAAAACATTTCTTCCACAGATGCTTTTCGATATCCCCTTCAGCTCGAATAAAGCAACTGGTGTGGCTGTGCCGTGCAGCTCGGTGTGGGATCTCTTCTCCCACGTCAGATGCCGCTTGGGCTAAGCCCCTTGGGGGGGATATGGCAGAAACACCTCTCCCTCCGCAGCTGCTCAGCTGCCCCTTGTCTGCAGGTCATTAGGAGCTCCCAGCTGACGGTGGAGCCTCTCTATGCTTTTAAATTACAGCTCCTCAGTTTGTTTTCACTTTACAAGGTGCCTGTTGGTCTTTCTTCCGCCTTGCCAGGAAGACAGAGATATGATATTTTTCACTCTCAGATGCAGACTTCCATTTCAGACCTGCAGAGATGAAGCAAAGTCACCTTGAAGTTGCTACTGTAATTTAGGGGACCTCTGAAAAAACCAGTAAGTAGTAGGTATTGCTTACACAGGCTTTGTGCAAGTTTCCTAGAATGTAAAACCGACAGAATAAAAAAGGACCATGTGGAAGAAAATGTCTCTGGCTTCACTTCATCCAGCTCTTCACCATCCTTTTCCAGAAATCACCCTCATTCACCTTGGAAGGCCACTCACACAACTGATCCCGTACCCCTTTACAGTTTTGCAAAAATGACACCATTCCATTTGCTTCCAGGGGAAATCTCAGCCAAAAGCAGGGGGAACCAAAGGGGCAAGGAATGTCGCCCAGCTGCCTGTGAGAAGTTCCCGTTGCACATCAGGACATGGGCACAACAGATGTGGCAGAGAACATTTTCTCCCAACCTCCTTGATCGTACAGCACTCAGGTATCCAAACATCCCTAGATGTAAGAGCTATTTTGCATTAATATAACCACCTTTCAGCATTATTTTTCTTCAGTTACAAATCGTTGAATATTTTGTCTAAAGCTTTTCCTGTTAAGCCCTGCCTGGGCAGGCTGACCAAAGTATGTCATGAGTTTATGATGAATCCATAGATGTCTTCAGATTAAAACAAAATAATAATATAAAAGAGAAAAGAAAAAAATGGGAATGTTTAATTTGTCACTCTCAAAATTCAGTCCTTTAATATTTCATTTTAGAATGACTATCCATTTCCAGAGGTACTTCAAGGTCATTTAAATAATATTTTTAAATGTGCAAGAAGGATTGAAACCAAATGTGTAGAAAAAAAATTCAATTTGTCAAAACATTTCTGAAGTAGTAATTTCAGTTTGACCTCAAGTCGCTTTCTTCCACTAACACATTAACATTTTAAGTTGACTGAAAAACAAGCCAAAAGTCCACCCTTTCTTTCTGTCATGGCTGCAGATATTTACACAGAAAGAAAGAGGGCACAGTAATGTGTCTGTTCCATACGGCTATGAAGCATTAAGTCATCTGCCCTCCACCTTTTGTATCTCTATCATCTTTTTTTGGACTCGATGTTTGTAAGAAGAATTGGTGAGACACAAAGGATTGGTGAAATGTAGCAAAGCACCGGTATGAAAGTGCAAAAATTGTTAAGTTCAGCCACGTGGCCAAGTCTTACTTATTCGCTGTTTTGCCCATTTTTTCCCAAGATACGTGACCAGGTTTTGTTCTCTCAAATTTCCAAGGGATGCCTCGCTCTGTGCATTTGTGTTTGCACAAAAGCATTGGGTAATTTGTCTTTTTTATCAAGTTTCCTTCATCTGTCTAAAGAGTAGATATATTACTGAGTGGTGGGGGCACTCATGGTGTGGCTGAATTGATGGAGGCACGGTCAAGGTGAGCAACTTAGGACTATGGGTTGAGGCTCTGCTCTGACCTCCTGGCCCCATGGCTTCTGGGTGCTGGACATATTTATGAAGTGCACTCTGTAAAACGTAACTCACTCCTCCTCCAGCTAAAATCTTGGCTTCCGTCTCGTCTGTCCCTTCCTCCATCTCTTGCAGGAGAGACCTGTAAGTTGAATGATGTGCTCGTATTGCTCTTATCGAACGCTTGTAATTGTGAATGCAAATGGCACTTTTTATACATGAGCAGAAAAAGGACTAAATTCACTGGATAAATTATTCACAACAGATAATTCAACCTGCTCTCGTGGGAGAGTGCAATGAATGTCTGATGATGTTATCCCCTCCCCCCCCCAACTAATTCTTCCAACCACTGAATTCAATGGCAAAACCTTTTACTGACTTCAAAGGGAGCAGAACCTAGCCGCAAGCACGAGGGCCCACATACGACTGACTTCTCTTTAGTGGTTCTCACTTGCATTTAGAGCTAAAACCCAGACGAGCGTTTCTGGTTTGTGGAGCCCAGACTAATGCTGTGCAGCAGAGCCAGGCCGCCAGGGCACATGCATTAGTACAGCTCTGGTTGAAAGCAGGTCCCCAGGCTGAAATAACCCAGCCTCAAGAGACGGCCAAGGTAGATGGGCTGTCTAGCGAGTTCGGAGCTCAGGGCAGGTTAATTTGGCCAGGTTTGTCTAGTTTGGAGAAAAGGAAGTTGAGGGACAACCTCATTGCTCTCAACAGCTTCCTGAGTGACAGGATGTGTGGGAATGGTTCAAAGCTGTGTCCAGTTTAGACTGGCCATTAGGAAGTGTTTCTTTACCAAGAGGGTGGTCAAACACTGGAAGAGGCTTCCTGGAGAGGTGGTTGATGCCACAAGCCTGTCAGTGCTTCGGAGGCATTTGGACATTGCCCTTAATAGCACGCTTTAACTTTTGGTCAGCCCTGAAGTGGTCAGAATGGTCATTGTAGGTCCCTTCCAACAGAACTGCTCTATTCTATTCTGTTCTGTTCTAATTTACTTTGCATCTAGGATAGATTTGCAGCCAGTGAGGGGGTTTGTGGACAGGGTGCCACTGGCCACCCCAATGCGGCTGTGCTGCTGGCCATCACCCCTGGTGGCAGCCCACCACGGGCATGATTTGGGGGCCGTGACCGTGTGCAGTGGATGTGGGGTCTGGGAAAAGGCTTGCACGGGGGCTGCTGCCGGGCTCCCCCTCGCTGGCAGGGGAGGCGAGCGGAGCGAGGGCTGGGCTGTGCCCCAACTCATGCCACTGATCCTCTCCAGTTGCCGGTGGTGGGGACACGTGGCCTTGGGCACCGGGGAGAAACAGGGAGACAGGGACGCTGTGAGTTGCCCTGGCCAGGTGGCAGAGGGGGAAGCGAGGGACGGGAGCAAGGCCAGCATCCCCGCCCTCTGCCCCCGGGGGTACGGGCCTCCCGGGGCCGGTCTGGGTGCCCCGTGTTGGAACACGTCCATCCCTGCCGTGTGGCGCATTGTCACCT